GCTGGGTGAGGGGCGAGGTGCTGACCTGGTACCTGCAGCAGGAAGGGGAGAGGCTGGTGGTAACCCCCGGGCAGCCAGAGGGGAGCCAGGGGCTCCCAGGGGCTGTACCCAGCAGGGCTCTCCTCCCAGACCTGGTGCTGACATCTGTGTACCGGCCGACGTCCACCTTCCCAAAGTGCAGCCCCGCACAGTTGTACCTGGGGAGGATGGGCTGTGGTGGGGGGGGGGGGGGGGGGGGGGCGCCGCGAAGCGCGGTGGGGGCAGGGGACCCCCCAGCCCTGGACCCACCAGCCCCACCACTCACTTGAGCGAAAGGTCGGCAAAGATGGGGGCAAAGGACTGGCACTCGCTGGACCAGTTGGCGAAGAACTCCACAATCCAGGTCACCCGCTTGTCCCGCTCCAGCTCCTCCTACGAGGGGCACAGGGCTCAGTGGGGGCAGCAGGCAGAGCCCCCGTGCCTCCCGGGGAGGGGGTACTCACATCGATGGTCTTGTCACTGAAGTACTTGATGTACTCGGGGCCCATGTAGAGGGGCGGCTTGCAGGTCATCAGGAACACTGCAACGACAGCAGCCTGAGCCCCTGCAGCCCCTGGGGAGGAGGCTCCTCCTGCCCTGCAGCAGCCCAGGGGAAGCAGGCAGCCCTCCGGCCCTCTCAGTGCTGTGGGTCTCACCTATGCAGAGTGTGAGGTAGAGCAGGCCCATGCGGATGTCGAGGCGGAAGAAGAGGATGGCGTTGGCCACTTTACTGAACATGAAGATGTTCCCAATGTGCTGCTCCACGGTGACTGGGGAAGGGAGGGAGAGAAGACGGGTCTAGATCCCCCACAAGACCAGGGGCATCCTGAGCAAGGGCCAGATCTGGTCATCCAGATTCCATCCAGCTCCTTGGGCAAGGCTTCACAGGCAGCCCCATGGTCCCCAGTGCCCACCCCACCCCACAGCACAGCCCCAACTCACTGGAGCGTCGGTTCTTCATCATCACGATGGCGCTGAGGAACATGAGGATCTCCACCTCCCGCTGGGACAGGAGACACGGTGTGAGCAGGATGCCCACGGGACCCTGCAGAGCCTGGAGGCAGCCACCGGCACACCCGCCCCCGCCCCCCACC